GGTCTATCTATCTTTTAGCACACACTGCAAACCTAGTACTCCTTCAACCGATCCTCAGGATCCTCTGAAGGTAAGATGTAGCAGGTACCCTTTTAATGAGGCACTCCCTGCCAGCAATCGGATGTTTTCCTTAAGAGTAAACGAGAAGAATATAAGGGGACCCTTTAACTACAAATTGACTACCATGTATGGAGTATGTCACATTTTGGGATAATTTACCATTGTTAAATCTGATTTTAAACTAAAAGGACCAAGTCGAAAGGAAATATTTATACACACACAGTTAACAAGTTCTTTACTGTCATCAAGGAAGGCCATCTGGTCTTTTAACGTCCTTGCCCCGGCTGCCCTCCGAGTGTTCGAGAACACCTCAGCAGACTTGCGGAGTGGTAGGTCAACTGTGACAGGGAACTTGACTGTAGAAGGGCATAGTTTGTAAATCCGCTTGAACTCTGCGTTAACGCTGAAACAAAAATGAAAAACAATTTTTAACAACACGGCCCACCTGACAGACAGCCATTGTGTTTTGCATAAAATGTCCACCTGCCACAATCAGGCATAACTGTAGGACTCACTATGCATGTTTGGCTCAGCATTCTGATTTGCTGGGCTAATGGAATATGGTGGGTCCGAAGCTGAAACATTTTGCTGTAACTCTACTCAGGAGATCAATTCCCAGCTCCAAGAACGAACGATCTGCAAACGATATATTTGCCGACCAACTTTTTTTTGTGGGAGGAAGGGGGTAGGGCTTGGAATGCCCAGGCGCTTTGATAGTAGGTGCCTCAATCTTATAGCCAATCATATTCGGCAACAAGTAGATAACTGCACGATGGGCACCTGAAAATCGCCAATAATATGTTTGTGAATGCGTTGACGAATGCGTGGTGAACCACAAACTGATGCGTTAGTCGTGGCGTTAGTCTGAAAACCAGTAGGGACATAACACCAGCAGTATGTGCTGTGTGTTTCTGTTGTCAAGGAGGTTTTAATTAGAACTTGTGCTACACAAAACTTGCAGTCATTTTTAATTTGTGACGTTTATCACGGTATTTTTCTTTTAACTCTAGGCCAGGTGTCTCAGACACCAGGCCCGCGGGCCAGACGTGGCCCGCGAGACAGTTTCTCATGGCCCCTTTGTTGATATCATGTAATAGTGTTAATCTGGCCCGCGCGTTTACGTTTGCGCTTTATATTTCAATTTTATTTTTCCCGCTGCTGCTTTTGCTGGCAGGGAACTGCTGCGCGGAGTTCCCTCGCCCCTCCCCCCTCCGAGGGAACTCCGCCACACGTCAATCAAATGCGCGCAGCGGAATCAATCCAGAGTGATCCAAAAGTGACACAGAGTGGAAGCAAAATATATCGCCATGTCTTCATCAAAACTTTCAGGGAAAAGAAAAATCGATGATGACCACAGAACATTTCAAGAGAAGTGCGAGACTGAATATTTTTTTGTTGAGTACAGGGGAAACGCAACGTGCCTTATATGCACAGAGAATTGCTGTATACAAGGAGTATAACGTCAAACGTCACTACTCAACTAAACTTGCAGAGTATGCAAAATACCTGGGAGATGAGAGAGAAAAAAAAGTCACTGAGCTAAAAAAAATTCTATGGAAGCAACAAAATCTCTTCAAGAAAGGAAGCAATGATGCTGATTTAGCAGTCGAAGCTAGCTATGTGGTGAGTGAGATGATTGCTAGGGCGGGAAAGCCGTTTACGGAAGGCNATATCATGTAATAGTGTTAATCTGGCCCGCGCGTTTACGTTTGCGCTTTATATTTCAATTTTATTTTTCCCGCTGCTGCTTTTGCTGGCAGGGAACTGCTGCGCAGCAGTTCCCTGCCAGCAAAAGCAGCAGCGGGAAAAATAAAATTGAAATATAAAGCGCAAACGTAAACGCGCGGGCCAGATTAACACTATTACATGATATCAACAAAGGGGCCATGAGAAACTGTCTCGCGGGCCACGTCTGGCCCGCGGGCCTGGAGTCTGAGACACCTGCCCTAGACACTATAGAAGGAAAAAAAGAACACAAACAGCCCAAACACAAAGTTATATCTTTAAAATGTGTCCATGTGAAAAAAGTATCAGCGATGAGATTAAAAAACGAATTTAGCATCAGTAGCAGGTAATGCTAGATCATCTATGTATCTGAGGTTTAGCTACAAGAAGCTCTGCTAGCTACTAGCAACAGAAATGACTATGAAAACTGTGTTTTAGAAGTTGTAGGCATTTTCTGTGTTGTTGTGTCAATGAATGAATATTGATATACATTTCAGAATAATATTTTATGACATTCAATTTATTATATGATAGCCTTTTTATACGTCAGTATATAAATATATTTTTACATTTTCTGTCGATTTGTTTGTAAGATATGATGCATACTTCCATTTATTAATGCACAACAATCCCTACATTCTTCTGTGAGCACAAATTAGTTTCAGAAACCATCTCTTTGAGGTTCCAGTCTATTCATCCAAGTTGTCACTTCTCACTTCAGGAGGCACATTCAAATGAGTCATTGAGCCGTGATAATAAAATGATCCGTTTGCCTCTAATCACTGCATGTCACGACAGCATACATTCCTACTTGTGTATTCAGGCTCAACTAGCGTGCCATGACATCAGCCAACAGTGAACATTAAGACAGGCCATTAACGGAGCTGCTGAGTTACAGGCTGCTGCTGCTATCAGCCCTCAGCTCCAAATGGATTACATTTTGATTGTGTCAGCCAACACTCCAGCGGCCTTCTACAGGGTTATGGAAGCTTTGCCGTACACTTCCGGCAGCTGCTTTTTCCACCCTGTCTGTCAAAACAACATGGTGGGTGTTAGGATGGAGAAGTGGGGAGTAAACTGTTGTGACTAACACAGGTATGGACATGGAAAAATAATTGAGCTGTCATCTAGGAATGCTACAATATCTGTGTTAACAGCACAGGTGTACTGGTGTACCGCTCTCATGGATTAATACAGTGTTAATGAAAAGAAAACATTTCAAAATTACCCAGTGATCATAATAGTGTTTTTACCTGCGGTTTTCTCTGCTGTTTGCACTTGTATTCAGTTAATGCTGCATTTCAAAGGACGCGAGGAATTAGGCCCGTCATTGTGAAATAGGACTTAATGTTTCTGATGAATGCCAAGCACAGCATTACAATTACAAAAGGACCACCATTGTGATTAGAATGGAATACAAACATATTGTTTCAGACAAAAAGCATGCACCACATCTGTGTGGCGTTGTATTATTGTGTTTTATAAACTGTAGCTTGATATTTATTCCATAACTGCCTGTGTGATGAACAAAGTGACATTTTCAGAATATACTGTAGAAACAGAACTTAGCAAAATTGTTTTTTTTCACAGTGCTATTATTCTCAGTTAGATATCCACTGCCACAATTATACTGAATACGTATAAGATAATCAGTGGTTGAGTAGAGTGAAGTAAAAGTACAGAGGTATATTAGCAAAATTCTTGAGAGTCAAAGCACTCATTGTGAA